TTTTTTAAGGAATAATCACACAAAACATTTCTTCCATGTTTTAATTTTAATAGTAAATCCCCTTTGTTTGCCAAAAAATCTTGTTTGCTTAATTTTCAATAATTAAAAGATAAATGATAAATTAAAATAATATTTTATGCCTTCATTTGATAACCAGAGAAATGTAAATATACAACACAATTTCTGAGAGGAAAAAAAATTCATAAGGCTACTTTAAGAAAAAAAATTAACAATAAATAATATGGTGAGAAAAAAATAAAACATTTCATAGGGCCCTAAACATGTAATTTTTGTTCAACTTTTAATAAATTGATGTGAAAATGTATAAGTTTAATTATTTTAATTAATTAGACATGCTTTTAAATTAATAACATTTAATTTAACTATTAAAAAGGAGTCAAGAAAAATTTAAATGGAAAAAACGGAATTCATAGGGCCTTAACTATCCCTTAGCCTTGCCGCGCCCCACAGTTTGGCAACCACTGCTTTATTCTTTTAAATTGATACATTAATCGTTTTTATTATATATTTTTTTATTAAAGTGGAACTAAATAATGTAAACTTGACTGACTGCTTCACTTCCACTTTAAAGGGATATTTATGTTGTTTATTATTTATTTTTATTTATACTATTTATAACTTTTGTGCAATTACTTGCCTGTCAGTTGAATTTGTGGCAAAACATTTAGCAGTGTTTACATGTTGTTTATTACTGCATAAAATTTATTAAAATAGATGTTTAATTTCATAAAGTACAAGTTGATTTCAAAATGCACCTAATTTTTGCATTTTGTGTTTTTCAGTTGAGTAAAAGACTATTTTTCCCTATATATTTCATCATTGAGGATTTCTTTAAAAAAGTCTAAAAATCTCATCTCGTCTCGTTCTCGTGAACCCAGTCTCGTGTCTCGTCTCGTCTCGTGGGATAAGTGTCTCGTCACACCCCTATGGTTAAAGCATTTTTGGTCAAATAAAATATGCTTTAATGTCTTTTCTATTGAAACTTGTATGTCATGTATTTAAATATATTTGTAATTGCACTTTTGTAATGATGAAGTTGCAATTTAGTACATTTAAAACATATTAACTTGAAATGTAATATTGAATAACACACTGCAGTGAAAATCTTGTGCTGTATGTTAGTGTACTTCTACAAAAAAAGAGATTATTAAAAACATAATATTTAAAATGTAAAGTAAAACTTTAAAGTGTACTTAGATGTGATGAGAAACACGTTGTTTAAAGTATTTTAGGCATTTTCAGTAATATTATATTATACCACCATTACTGATTTACTGACATAACAGTCATGTAGTGTGTGATTGATTCCCTTATTTTTCTTCAACAGTTTATTTAATAAGTCAGCAAATGTGTGATGGCTAGTATTTTAAAATCTATTCAGATTTCAGGAGTCGTGTAGTGTAGTCTGATTATGTACTGATAAGCATATCCACTGTATGTTCAGTCATATATCATTGCATATTTAATCCCATTAATGAGATTGATATCTAGAATGGAAAGAGATTTAATGACTTCAGTTTCACTGTGTTCCTCACACAAAGCTATCATATGTTCTCAGAAGACTTGGAAATTAAAAGAACCACAGCGGTAGTCCATTTGACTTGTGCATTGCAAGTCAAATGATCTACTGCTGTGGTGCTTTTCATTTTGGAGCCTGTCAGCCCCTGGTTACCAATCACTTTCATTTTATGAAAAAATATAGAGCAGTGTGAATGATCTGCAAAGCATCTGCATGGAAAAAAACAAAACCACACAGGTTTGAAAATGAGGCCGTTTTCTTTAATGGGGAAACTAAGATTTTAATGGAAAGCTTTATGCTAATGTGTATAATCACATTTGCCAGACGCACATCGTTTCGTTTGGCGGAATAGCATGTGTGAGCATATTAGCTGGTCTGTGCATCACCACACAACAAAAAATAATCAGAACTCTGGGTAAAGTGTTTTTCTGTGTAGGTGCCACATCCGTGTGATCGACACCTTTGGCACGGAGCCAGCGTACAATAATGAGGAGTACGCCACACTGAACGGCTACAGGACCAACTGGGGCTACTGGAACCTCAACAGCAAACAATACATGACCATGTTCCGTAAGTCTGTGACTGCTTATTACTGGCTGGAGCTGAATCATGACACGATTGTCTTGTTAGAGCTGCCTTACAGCAGAATTTGGCTTTGCTCATATTTGAAATTTTGGTAACACTTTAGATGAAGGAACGCATATTCACTGTTAACTAAGAATGTTGCCTCAAACTTCTAATTTGCTGCTTATTGATAGTAAACAAGGAAGTTGTTGCGGTAGTTATGTTGAGGTATTGGATAGGGTTAAGGGATCTACAATATGGTCATGCATTAATATATGCTTTATAAGTAAGGGATAATGTACATCTACCCGGTTGTCTGCTTCGCGTCGGGGGTTATTCTGCGATATGTAAATAATTAGACACAAAATATTGATTTGAGTTTAAATATTTGAACGCAACGCCTCCGTGAACACAGCAGTTGCGAGCAAGCGGCAAGTTCAAACTATATGGATATTTAAGGGATTCAGTACAATCATACCACTTATTACACAACATTTCACCACATAAATAATTAAGGCGATAAAAGATATTGATTTAAGACAAAACTGTTTTAAAATCTTACCAGTTTGTTAGTTATCTTATAATCCATTACAGCGTACAAAACAATCGTAGCAAAATGGCAGCAGCTGCGTTTGTATGAATCGAGAGAGAGCGAGTCCGCGATTCCAGGATGACATAATTAAATAATTGTACACATAATATTGAATCGAGTTTGAATGTTTTATTAGCTAACCAAACGCATGAGCTTCCACCAAGAAAAATTGTTCCTAGCAAGAGTATAGTGCCTACTTCAGTTACCCGGATGAGCCTGTGTTATTAGCTTTTACCGGTTGTTATCGAGGGATAACATGCCTCGGAATATCGCGACTGACCAATCAGAATCAAGTATTCCACAGAGCCATGTAATAAGAGCTAAAGAACAGCCAATAAATAAATAAATAAGTAAATAAAAACTAGCTATCCGCTGTATTATCAATTCCCAATGGATTAAACTAAGTCTATACCTTTTTGCACATTTAAAATTGTGTTTTGTTTGGAAATATGTAATATTACGGAAGTTAGACACTGTAAAAATATATATTTTTAACAGTAAAAGTCACAAAATGCTATGTAAAAGTAAAAATACTATGGTAAAAACTGGTTAATTAGTTAACAATCAGTTTCCTTACTATACACGGTGAAAAACTGTAATAAATCTCATGGGACATTTTATGTAATTAAAGTAAAATACATTTCAGGTAATTAAAGTTTACGATTTTTGGAAGTGAAAAAGAACAAGCCGTCTTATAATTTACAGTATAAAACTCTAAATTGACATTATCTGTGGTAGCTCACATTTGATGTTGTTTTCATTGAAATAAATGTTTCCTCTCAGTTTTTTGTTAGCAGTTAAGATGTCATATCTTATGTTGTTAAATCCACTTAATTTATTTTTTGGGATCCATTTTTTATTGATTTTACATATATAGGGTCACATACATAGGCATCGCTAGGCCATTTTTGGGGGGCTATAGCCTCCCTAAAATGACTACTCAGCCCCCCTAAAATGTTGCGATTAGTTCCATAAACTGTACACAAATTCGTGATCGCCTCAGTCCCCTTTAAATTTCATATGAAAACGGCGGCAGACTCTTTCAGCGTGTTCTTTTTCAATCCGCAGACCGCGGCGGCGCAGAGCGAGAAACAGAGGACAAGGTGTGTGATTATCTAGATTGTTATATCTGCATCTGTGCAGTTCTTTGTCATAAATACAGTTTACAAAATATCATGGGGGAGCAATCGGTTCCTCATCTACTGTAGCCTAAGTTTTCGCTGCATTCACCCCTCATCGCACCACAGATTTCCTCCAGTGAAAATAAAGCACATATGAATGCATATACTTTATGCGTTATTTGAATATATATATATATATATATATATACAGTATATAGCCTATATATTATAGCCTAACTTACCCTCATTGGGGGCTGAGCCCCCCTAAAATGAAAATCCTGGAATCGCCCCTGGTCACATACAATTGTTCAAATACAGATACAGTCTGCAACATAACAAACTCAGGATAATCCACTTAATTTATAATGGATTATAAATCTCATATCTTGACATTATTTATTTAAGATCTGTTCAGTATCTTACTATCTTACTGATATTACAATAAATATAGTTAAAATCAAATGTGCCATATTACACATTCATCTGATCAGATATCTGATCTTATGGCTGTTTAAGAAAAAATATAATTTTTATTTGTATTATTATTGTTGTTGTTATTTATAAGTGGTCTTTGTCTGCTTTAAGTAAAGTAACAAGTTAACAATGGCAAGATATGAGACTTATAATACATTATAACTATGGGAAATATAATCCATTCTAAGTTAAGTGGATGCATTGTGTTCATTGTGTATTATAAATCATCATAATCTTAAAAGCTATAACCACAAATAAGTAAATATTATAATGCATTACAACTGTTGTTATGATTACTCATGAGATTATAAACATATTATAAGTTTATATATATATATATATATATCCACAAACAGTTATGAATAACGTTTACTTTCTATAGGACTAGTGTTAGGAATAGGGTTTGATTTAGGGTTAGTTGCATATAATTATACAGTTATTAAAGGGATAGCTCACCCAAAAATGTAAATTATCCCATGATTTACTCACCCTCAAGCCATCCTAGGTGTATGTGACTTTTTTTTTCTTTCAGGCAAATGTAATCAGAGTTATATTAAAAAATGTCTTGGCTCTTCCAAGCTTTATATAATGGCAGTGAGTGGGGGTCGAGATTTTGAAGCCCAAAAAAGTGCATCCATCCATCCTAAAAAAGTGCTCCACATGGCTCCGGGGGGTTAATAAAAGCCTTCTGAAGCGAAGCGATGCATTTGTGTAAGAACAATATACATATTTAAAACTTTATAAACTGTAATCTGTAGTTTCCGTAAGTACAGTACATGTAACGTGTAACAAGGACACCATGAAATAAAGTGTTACCAAAATTATTGCTTCTACCAAGTAGTTTAGTTACCTCTTATTAGTAGCTTGTACTATGGCTAACTTCTTTATCAAAGGGGTGAGTATCTTGTAGCTTCTCTAATGCATTTATCAGGCTGCATTATGAAAGTCTTTAGTAATCACAGCACAGAAAATGAGAACAGTAAGCACGTCTGGGTGAGTGTTTTGTGTTTGGGTAGCAGATGCTATAGACGCAGAGCATCTGTATGCAGGAGAAGAGCAGCAGATGTTGTCAGAGCTGGAGAGTGTTTGTGTCTGTGCAGCATATGCACAAGTCTGCATCTCTACACTCTGAGGCACTGCTCCTCATTTCAATATATTAACAGAACACAAGTTTGGCCCAAATTCAGAATTTAGCAATTTTGTTCCCTTTCACTTCATGAGTGTGAATTTGAATTGAATTGGCCAGATGCCTTACAGGATGACGAATTGAAATTCGCATCAGAATGACAGAAATTCAACACACAACAACGATTCATTTTCACTAAATGTCTCTTTAGTGTAGAATGTTTTTTCCTCCACCAATTAGACCGTTTTTCCTTGAACTAAGTTCAGTGCAGTCAAACAGTTGCCAGACATCAGAACTAATTTTGTTATACAAAACCACAACATTTAATCTATATTGTGCGTCTATGTATATATATATATATATATATTTATACTACGGGGCCGTTGAATGCTTAAATCTGATTGGCTGACGAACGTTCTGAGGTGTTCAATTATTTTCAGGGAAACGCACGGCGAACGTAGTTCCAGGCAGCTCTCTTGCCCGCATTACAGTTCCATATCACTTCGCATAGTTAACTGTAATAACGTAAATTAGCATACAGTACCTATACAGCACACAGGAATTACTGCAATCACACGTGCTCGCACACGCACACTACGGTCACGCAGTTTGCACAAAAAGGTGTTGTCAGCGCTGCCCTGACGATTTTATCAGTTAGCCTATATAGTGTAGCAACTTAAAGGCTACACATGAATTTCTCACTAGCGAGGTAATAACAGCGCTGTTTAGAGACGCTGCTGCAGAACACTGTTGAGGTAGCCTAATTCACACAAGCTCTCTCTCGCTCTCTTTCTAATAACTTCATTAATAACTGCATTAGAATGCTATTATATATATATCCAAATTAAATTATTGCGAGAAATGAAAGACTTCACCCATAGACAATAACATGAGTTTTATTAAATCTAATATAAATACTAAAAACTAAATACTATTAAATTACTACTAAATACTAAATATCAAATGTGCAATTTCAAACATTTTATCATTAATATCCTGAAATGTCTTAATATCTTAAAATGGTTATGGAAATAGTCCACGAATTGTGTGTATGTATAATTCAGAATGAATGAATGAATGAATGAACGAATGAACAGAGCTGGGTAGATGACTTACAAATTGTAGTCCATTACTGATTACACATTACATGATGAAAACTGTAGTTAGTAAAGTAATCTAGGGTACTCTTTTTAGGTAATATATTCTGAGTACTTTTTAGATTACTTTTATATTACTTTTTACCTAATTTACCTAATTTCTAACTTTTTTTTTTTTCAA